TGTGTCTGTGTGTGTATGGCATGTGGTGTGTGTTTATGTGGAATGTGTACATGATTTGTGTGTGGCGTGTGTGGCACGTGGCATGTGTGTATGTGGTATGTGTACGTGGTTTGTGTGTGTCGTGGTGTGTGTGGTATGTGTGTGTATGGCATGCAGTGTGTGTATGTGTATGTGTGGGGCATGTGGCTCTGTGTCTGTCGTATGTGTGGCATGTGGCATGTGTCTGTGTATGTATGGTATGTGGCGTGTGTGTATGTGGAATGTGTATGTGGTTTGTGTGTGGTGTATGTGTCTGTGTGTGTGTGGCATGTGGCATGTGTGTGGTATCAAACCACAAGAAGGAACACTGGCCCACTGCACTCCGCAGAGCCACGGGGAAATGCAGAGTCAGGAGCCGGGAAATGAGTTTCAGGAGAGGCTGAGGCTTCTTCTCAGGGTGGAGACCAAGCGGGTGGCTGGTTCCCTAGAGCTGGAGCGGGAGAAGCTGGAGGCCGTAGAGCAGGTTACACCGAGACCCTCAGACCCTCAGGGCGGGGGCAAGTCACAAGCTTCCCGAGACAACCTTCAAGGTCTCGCTCCCTCTGAGCACCCTGGCCCTGGCTCTCACTTTCCAATGCCTCGCCCAGGTCCTGTTGCCATTTGAAGCTTAGCTTCCAAGTTCTCAAAGCTTCAGGGTCAAGGTCCTTGACGCCTATAGCCCTTCCTCCCATGCCCATGGACACCTGGGCCATCACCGGGCGGTGCTTCAAAGTAGCCAACCAGTGTGATCACAGTCTCCTCTTGCCCCTCTCCTCTCCCACTTCACCTGTCATTCAGCCTCATCCTCCCCCACCCCACCCCTCCACCCCCGGCATCTGCATCCCTCCCTGTCATTGCAGCGGATTTCCGTCTATCGGGAAAGCCTCTGTCTCTCCCCTGTGTTCCCAACCCTCGCCCCACGGACTGTATCAGCTACAGTCTTTCCTGACCTCCCTCGCCACGTCCAGATATTAGCCCTGCCTTTCTGTCCCTCCTAAAGAAACTTCTACCATGGCAACCATCAGGTTATCACCACACACACACACACACACACCCCAAGAGGTCCCTGGGTGGCCCAAATGGTTTGTACCTGACCCCTCACCCAAAGGTGGTGGTTCAGACCCAACGAGGGGCACTACCAAGGAGGACAGGGAACAGAAGCAGGCCAAGGGACAGCACTGGGTGCCCGTGTGTTTTCAGGGATGGACCTGGTTGGGTTTAGAAGGCTCAGTTGGACAGACCAGGAAAAGGTGGGGTGATTTTGGTAGCGGGCTTGTCTATTTGCGCTTCCAACCAGAGCCAGGAAGGCCCTCTTTCCCCCTAGCTTCCTGGCCTCAGCATCTAGAAAGCTCTCTGCCTCCCCAAGGTCGGACTCAATCCCCACTATCGCTGCAGCTAGCTCTGACAATGGAAATGCTCCTGCCCTTCCCCAAACCTCCAAATATTCAGCCCAAACTCACTTCCACTGAGTCGATCCCAACTCAGAGCGACCTCACAGGGCAGGGTAGAACTGGCCCTGTGGGTTTCCAAGTGTTGCTTTACGGGAGTAGAAATCCCCTGTCTGGCTCCCGAGGAGCGGCTTGTGGTTTTGAACTGCTGACCTTGGGGTTAGCAGCCTGATAAGTAACCCACTACGCTACCAGGGCTCCTTACTCGCACCCAGCGACCACGTATTCCATTTACACTTGGACTTCTCCACAGTGTCTGCTCATCCTCTGAGTAGACCGCTCAGGGCGAAACGCTTGTCTGACTTCTCTGGACCACCAGGGCTCAGGGCAGTGACAGCGCCCGGTCACTGCGGGGGCTGTGTGGTGGGTGGGGTGTGGGGGGCTGGCTCTTTCCAAGAGAGGCAGGGGTAGGTGAAGCAGGGATGTCCAGCTTCACACGGGCAGCTATGCTGCCTGGGAGATTCATGTGGGGAAAGAGTGTGGGCCTTGCTGTTACCAAGGAGCAAAACTGCCTTCCCATGAACCTGACCTTCTGCCATCTCAGCTCAGACCCCGCAGCGTAGGGTTGGCCTCTCTCTACCACAGGAGAGACACCAGCGGAGGGCCAGGAAACGGGATTGGCTGATTTGTTTCTGGGCCCAAAGTGACCAGCCTGATGCTGACTGTACACCAAACACACGAGACCTGGTGACTGCCACAGGGTGCTTCCATTCCCAGGGGACGGGCGGCTCCAGGCCAGGCCGTGTGAAGCCCCGAGTGGCCTTGTTAAAACCTGGGGGCAATTGGAGCTCCAGGGCCCAGGCTGGCCAAGCGCCAGGTGCGTGTGCCCAGCATGGTCGAGAGCAGGCCCAGCACAGGAAAGCCGGGGGTGAGCGAGTGGGAGGACTCATGGCTGACCATGAGCGGCATGCTGACCACTCTGTCTCAGCCCTCCCCCTACCACGGATCCTGAAACAGGAGGTGGGTCAAGAAAGACCTTATTTTGACGATGCTCCAGGGAGCTGAAGGCCTAGAAGGGGCACTGGTCACACACTGTGAGACACGGGGTTGCACTCATATGGCTTTGTACCGTCAAGGACCGAGCGTACCTCGGAGAGAAAGCAAGGTGGAGCAGCTGGTGAATGGAGCAGTACGTCCTCAGCCACTTCCCCACTCACTGTGCTCAGGACCCCGCCCCCACCCCCGCAGAACACCCAACTATACTGCTGCCCAAATAGGGCCCCAGGGAGCCCTGCTCCCAGAAATTCAGAGGCTGTGTGGGCCCCTACCACTGTGAGTCGAGAGTCGGGGCTAACTGTCATCAACAGGAAGTGCCACTGCTGCAGCCTCCAGCCCAAGGCAGAAATGTCTGGCAGCTTCCACTGTGATCATGTGAGGAGCTCTGAGCCAGTATAAAACCCTGGCTAGGCCCTAGGCGCACAAGGAGCCAGAGCAAGAGGCCCCAGCCATCTCAGCATACCGGCTGCCCTGGCCAAGACACAAGCATGAGGTGCGCCATGGTGGGAGTTCCCAGCTGCACAGCTCCCCTTCCTAAGAGCCAGAAGAACTTCCCGGGGAAGCCCGATCACTTCCAGTCAACCCACAGGAGAACTAACGTACTCTTTTTATGATGCAAAACCTTACAAAAAGAAGCCCTTTCTTCCCTCTCATGCTTCTGAGAACGGGGTACATACTCACCATGGGTTTTCTCTAAAGACATTCTGGAATGCTTTTACACTGATCCTGACAAACATGAGTTATCAGGGGTCCCCCATTCTGCAGACTTTTCAGGGAGAGGGCTAAATGAGTGGGTGGAAGAGCTGATCTGCAGGTACAAGGCTCTTTCTTTCTTACGGGCTTAACCAGAGCCCAGGGGGGACTCCCTGGGGCATGGACCTAGGAGGTGACTGTTAGAAGCTCATCATAAAAAGAGATGACGTGAGGTGACCAGATGTGAAGGGGGAGGATGTAAGACTCTCCTTCAGAGAGGCCATGGGGGGGCGGGCATCAGGGAGAGAGATGAGACAGGCACTGGGGGGACTCAGCACAAGAGGACTGGAGAGCACAGTGACGGATGTGGAAGCGCCATCCCCGACTGACTGGTGTGAGAGCTGGATGTGAAGGTGCGGAGCCTGCCTGGAGGGTCAGCCCTGCCTGCCTTAGGAGTAGGACCCACCAGTGGCCAAAGGACAGTGCCCTCCTTCTCGCCAGACACCCCATCTTCATCTTGCAGGGCCTGCTCCCAGGAGGCCTGTGCCCCCAGCTTTGTCTGCCTTAACTGTTCTAATAACTCAGCCACAGTGTGCTACCCTGGGATGGAGATCTGCACCGAGAGAAGAGGAATGCTGCCACAGTGGGCTGAAGTCAGGCGATGGGTTGTCGGTTATCCACCCATCCCCTACACTCCTCTGGTCCTCTGTCCCACCAACAGCAGCAGCAGCTCCCAGCGATTGAATGGACTTGTCATCCCTGTCTCACTCCTACATCCGCCTCCTCCTCAGCCAGCCCTAGATGCACTTGCCCTGCGGAATGCTAGAGAAGGGAGTCAGGCCAGAGCCTCTACGTATCACCAGAAGGCTGTTGATCTCCAAGAGCCTTCAGGCTCTGGCCCACAGCCTTGGAAGTGTTCCGAGCTCCTTGGAGGTGCCCAGGCATTAGGAAGAGAGAGGGCATGTGCTCCTAAGGGTCAGAAGCCCTTGAGTCCGGGAAGCATCCAGGAGACAACCCCACTGCCACTACTGTGGGGGCTTGTTGCTTCTGGGCATGCATCTGGTTGTGGGTGTTTGTGCATGCATGTGTCCTCCATGTGTACGCCCATAGCCCTCAGAGGGTAGCCTCCATGCACGGCACGTATGGGACTGGAGGTAGGGCAGCTCCCAAAGGCAGGGAGGTGAGTTGCAAAAGAAATAGGGGAAGGAGGGAGGGGAGAATCTATAGGCCTCCCTCCCCCATTGCAAGGGCCGGAGTGAGTTAGTGAGCAGCCTCTCTATACTTACTACAGGGACAAGTACTCCGATTCGGAGGGAACTCCTTGCATGAAGGCACAAATGGAAAGAGAAAGGAAGACGTTGTGGAGGCAAGTTGACAACACCATGAGGGGACGCAGTGAATGAACACACACACATACACAGTGGGACATCCACTTGGGGCGCTGGCCTCAAGCAGATGGGCTTCCTCTAGCAACGGGGGGCCTGGACTCAAGGCAGCACCTGGCGTGTGGAGGGGCTCACTCAGGGGCTGGGAGGTCCAGTCAGAATCCGTGTCAGATGGTCAGTCTTCCCAGGAGACTGCAACAGGCCCCGAGGGACTGTGCTCTGCAGGGAGGTAGGACCCAGGGGTGGGGGTGGGGCAGAATGCATACTTTGGCATGATTACAGGAGCCTATTAAAGGCATTTGTATGATCTCAGTGGCTATGGATTATAACAGTATTGTTATCCACCATCTATAGGGACTGTAACAGTACTAATATATTAATTATTACCATATATACTCGAGTATAAGCTGACCCGAATATTAGCTGACGAGCTAATTTTACCACCAAAACTGCATGAAAAAATGTGCTGAAAAACTCGGCTTATACTCAAGTATATACGGTAATATCATCATCACCGTCATTCAATCTGACCTTTCAAGTGTGCTTCTATTCATTCAAAGTAAGTTTACATCTATAACTTATAGATGTAGATACAACTTAACTTCCCTGATCCACAGAACACGCTTTAAAAGGGAACATATTCGTAGCCCCACCTAACAGATGAGGAAGCTGAGGCACATAAGTTGCTTAAGAGAGGTCAGAGGATTTGCTAAAGTTAGCAGTGGAGCTGGGCAGAGAAGTAGCTCTCTCAACCAGCGCCTCTCGAAGCCAGTGGCTCTCCACCTGGGCTTCACGCTGTGGATGCTGCTGGAGCGGTCTTGACAATTCAGGCTGCATACCACCCTTCCGGCCCCCATCCCCTGTAGACCACTTAAGCCAGCACCCCTGGGGATGCTGGTCAGGATCCAGGCACGAAGAGTCCCTACAGCTCCCCCAGGGAGGGTGGCATCCTCAACCACTTCTAGGGAGCGGGTTGCAGATGCAGGATCCCAGGTCCCTCCCAGACCGACTGCACCCAGGTCCACTTGTTAACCAGAGGCCCAGCTAATCCCTGAGCACGCTCAAGTCTGAGAAGTGGGTGGTGTGGCTAGATAAAGACCCATCAGGCAGCCCGATTGGACTGAGAGGTGAGAGGTGGGGCGGGAGACAGTCATCAAGGCACTCAGCCTTCTTAAAGTGGGCTCGGTTGGTAAGGCGTTGTCAGACTGCCGGCAGCTTGTGAGCAAAACACGCTTCTGTTTGGGAATTCCTATCTCAGACTCTCCAGAAAGACCCAAGCAGGGAGCTTTTCGGGTTGGGGACAACACCTGTTTAAAGGCCAAGTGTCTGCAGTGTGCATATGTACCCACCCTGCCTTCTCTGCAGGCACCTTCCTTTGGCCCAAGGATGTGCCCACTCCCAGCCTTCCTGCCCCACTGACTCACCCTCCACGGTCTTAGACGGAGACACTACTGGACTCTTGGCCTCTGACTTTGCTGGACTCTGCACTGGGGAGGTGGGTGCAGACTTCGTGGGCGAGCCAGGTCCTTCTGGGGCGATTTCTTTCTCTCCTGAAAATACAGAAAGCAGCTCAGAACACAGACACAGATCAACTAACAGCAGAGAGGGGGTCTGGTTTGGTTTTCATTGTTTTTTTTTCTACTTGATTATTTCTCCCAGCTGATGATGGACTGACTCTGGCTGAAGTTCACTGCACGTTGTGGTTGGTCCAGCTGTTGGCAGAGTCTGCCCCTGACTCACCATGACCCTTGCACAGCGGAAAGAACGCTGCCCTGCCCTGGGCCACCTCCAGGGGTGGTTGCAGATCCAGCTGCTGGGAGCCACAGGGTTTTCATTGGCTGAGTGCCTGGGTGGTTCCAACAGGTCAGCACTCAGGTGGGATCCAAAAGGTAGCAGGTAAGCAAGGCATGACCATGCCAGCAAGAAAGGGCCAGGCAGAACCAGGAGGACCTTGCCCAGGGTAGCAAGGCAGGTGTCCAGGGCCTCTGGTGAGGAGTGCCTGCAAAGGGCAGGATGGCCCCTACCACGCTTCTTCAAAGGTTTAAGGTGAGTGAATGAGAGCATGCTTCCCCTCAGAGGGAACGGTCTGGGAGGCCATGGGGTCCATTGAGCACGTCCTACATGGCTCCTCCACTCACTCCGGTGCACTCTGTCTGCACGCCTGGCAGACAAGGGTCTAGGGTTCTCGACCCAGGTGCCCTGTCCCCACTAGAAATCACTAGCCTCTCCAGGAAGATAAAGGTGTGTTTTGGCCAAGTTATTGGAGATCAAAGAGGGAGAGGGGTTGAGAGAAGCTGGGTGGGAATCCCCATATGACTGAGGAAGGTGGGAGGGTAGGAGGCCAAAGGAAGAGAAAGAGCAGTAACGGTGGGAGGGAGATCCCCCAGGCCTGTATTCATCCCATCCATCCTCACACAGCGGGAGGAAGGAATGCTGGGTGGAAGGGGAGAAAGCAGGTCAAAAGAAGAACGTCAGTTCCACTACAGTCAGGTGGACCTTTTTGATCGGATGACTCAGAGTACTCCCCCGAGAGCATCACAACAAAGGAAGCACGAAATAACATAAGACGGAGAACTACAGCCAGACGGATCTGCCATGCCAGTAATATCAATGGCTATAGCCAGTTGTTGAAAATGACTCTCTTATTAAACACTGTATGCTACTCGGCTTGACTAGACATGGTTGGAGTATAAGGCACTCCATGAACATTTAGCAGACTTAAACTCACTCCCCTTGGGTCAATTCTGACTCATGACGACACTGTAGGACAGGGTGGAACTGCCCCTGTGGGTTTCCAATAAAGACTCACTCTTTATAGGAGTAGAAAGCCCCATCTTGTGGCTGGTGGTTTCAAACTGCTGACCTGGCAGTTCAATGCATAACCCCTACGCCACCAGGGCTTCTTAGCAAGCTTAGCCACAAATGATCAAACATACTCCTGATTAGCAGAGAGGATTATTTTTCAACCTGGCTGCTAGCCCATTATATTCCAACCTTTTACTGAACTGAAAACACAATTCTGCAAAGCACGGAGGGGAAATGTTGCTAGAGCACTTGGCACTTGAGACCTATCGCTGTGGCATGCAGAGCTGGTTAGAGTTGAGAACTGGTGTCGAGAGAGCAGGCTGGACCCACTCCTCTGAGGCTAGACTGCCTGGTACCCTCCAGGGGACAAGGGACAGACCCCTGAGGATCTCATTTCCTGTAAGGCTGCTAGCATCTCCTCTTCCAGAAAATGCCAGCAACACACACCATGACACAGACCATCGATACTAATCCCACTCTCCCAGGAAACACCTCTCCCTGCTGCAGGGGCTGGGCCCTTCCTGGGCTCCCTTCCCAAGACACTGCCCGTGGTGGGTTCAGGTCTATCCTCTTGCCCTGATGACTCTTCCCATTATTTGGGGGCCAAATCCAGTCTCATCCTCTCACGCCACACCACATGCTGAGCCCAGCAGAACCTCTCCCCTTTCTCAGCTAAGAGTCCTTCATCGTCTGCGGGCTAATCGCGTGTATGTGCACCTCCTAGCACCATAACAAGAACACCTGCTCTTGATGGGTGGACACTACTTCTCCATGGATGATGTACAAGTCAGCAAAAAGCACAGCAGATAGAGTGTTCCTGCAGCCTTTGCCACAATGATGCTCCCAGCCTTGTTTACTGTGGTAGTTACATCATCTGGTGTCACTTTGAGGATTCAGAGTGAAGGGGTGGAGTCTAGTCTGTCAATCAGGTCATAGCCAATGAGGCCTCTGTGTGGGCATGGCCTTCTCCTGAGGATTCTGGGACTCTGGTCTTCCTCCTTGGAGGCAGGAGACACACACACACACACACACACACACACACACACACGCTCTCTCTCTCTCTCTCTCTCTCTCTCATTCTCCAGCCTGTGGTCTTCCTGCTTACACACACACACATACACAGAAATACAGCAGTCAGCAGAGTCCTCCAGCTTCACATCCTGCTTCCTGGTTCATCACACACACACACACACACACACACACACACACACACACACACA